GGCCCAGAGAGGCTGCAGGAGGCCCTGGCAGTGAGCTCGTGGCAATGGACGGGCTGTGGGCGAAGGCACTGGTGAGTGAGCGACACAGCTGTAGAGAAATGGCTTCCCCTTGGATGCCAACAGCGCTTGAGCTGGCATCAGGACCCCATGGGGCCAAGGAGGAAACTGAGCCCAGAGCAGGGCTGAGGGGGCATCTGGCCAGGGCTTTGGGGTCTGTGCCACACAAACCTACACCTGGCTCCTGTGGGAAGGGAGCCTGGGAACTCCATCTGGACCCAGCCCAACAGCCCAGGCTGCAGAGGGGTCCCCGTCCCAATCTGCACTGCCCAGCGTGGCACCTGCTGACCACAGGTGGCCAAGCAGCCCCTGCTGGGAGGACAACTCCAGTGTCATCAGAATTCTTTAGGAGCCTTAATGTGTTGACTCCAAAATTCCTGTGGAACAACGTCAAAAGGAGCAAGGGAGTTTCTAAAAACAACAACAAAGGAGAGGCCTGTCCTAGTAAGAAAATATATAAAAGTGCAGCAGTGAAATCTGATGGCTATGGGTGCAGCTCAGTGAGTGCCTCCCTATTGTGCAGAGGCCTAGGTTTGACTCCAGCACCGCTAAATTAAAACTGAAAATGGCTGATGTCGGCAGAATCAGCACCCAGATCCTTCAGCCATCGTGTAAGCCCTCCCGGACCTTCATCCTGTGTCGCAGACACATCCTGGGCCCCTGCGACAGTGCCAGGTGTGCAGGAGCCCCTACCAGGACCTGCTAAGGGAGGGGAGGACCCAGACAGAGCCAGGGCTGGGCAAGAGGCAGGCACAGATGCCAGGCATGGACACAGGGCCACACAATGACATCAGGGCATAAACAGCCAATTCTCAAGGTGTGACCTTCACCTTTCATGCTCCTAAGAAATTTCAGATTTAAATCCTACTGTGTGGAAAACAAAGCCATGAAGTTCCCAAAGACAAAATCCTAAGACCTTGTTAGGACTCAGGAGCACAGCCTTTCAGAATAAGACACAAAGTGGCCGGACCTGTGGCTCGGGGTCAGGCGCTTGCCTGCATACATGAGGCCTTGGGTTCCATGCCAGCACTACCAAATGCAGGAATGAAATAAAACAAAGCATAAAAAGAAAGAGTAATTTCAAAAAACAAAACACTGATGATTTGACTAAAGAAAATGAAATGCTTCTATCAGACAAGAGCAGAAGCAAAAAGAAAAGTATGTAACCAAACACCACTGAGTCAGAAACTTTGTAAAGTCCATTCAGTGCAGTGATGACATCTCAAGGGTAAACCCTTAAAAAATAACGGAAGAAAAGTGACAGGGAAAGTATCCGTAATCACAGAGGCGTCATATCAACAAGTGCTAGTACTATAATGTCTTCAAAAGTGACAAAAAGTCAGTGGAAAAAGGAGCAAATGATTTACAAAAATCCCAGATTTAGCTCAGTGGTACCGCTGCCCACCTCGAAAGCGCAAGGTGAGACTGAGTATGGACGGGGGTGAGGAGGGGCAGACCCTGTCAAACCCAGAAGCCAAGGGTGGAAAAGGGGCCAGGACCCCTTAAACACTAACTGGGAAGTCCCGCTTGAGTTAACAGTGTGCCTGCCTCAGACCACACGGCTCCTCTCTGCTGTCCTCCTGGGGACTCTGGGGACGCTGTGTGAGGGGCACATCATGCCCACCACCATGGAAAGCGGAAGCACTGAGACACAGACCCACGGCCTGCTGCTGCTGTGGTGAGGCAGAGGGGCAGCAGCGAATGTACACAGGGCCTTCCCTGGCTCCTACACACCAGCGCGTCTTGCCTCAGCCCTCCAGGGTGGGCGCCACTGGCATCTGCCCCATCTCATCTGTGGGCACTGGGGAGCGGGAGGGCCTGCCCGGGGATGCTCCCACAGGAAGTGGGTGAGCCTGGCCTCAGGGCTGTGTTCCTCGCCATGGCTGGCTCCTGTTCCTAAAATGCCACGCAAACACACAGACAAAAAAGACTGGAAGGGCTATAATCCGAGCTACTCAGGAGGCTGAGGCAGGAGGATGGCAGGCTGGGGGCCGCTTAATGGGAGACTTGGTGAGACCCTGTCTCAAAATAAAGAGGGCTGGAATGTAGCTTGGTGGGAAGGCCTTCAATCCTCAGTACTGCCAGGAAGAAAAAAACAAACAAACAAAAACTTGGAATGGAGAGACTCCAAAATAGCCAAAGATGATCTCACCCTGAACCTCAAGGCTGTCACTGAGCAGAATGTCCCCTTGTGCCATCCATGTAATTAAGAAGCGACAGAATGAGAGTGGGCAGAGACCAGGGCTGGTCAGCTGAAGGAGACTTTTTCCCACTTCCTCCACCACAGTGCTGGGATCCCCCCTCGTCTCCACAGAGGACACAGGCCTGACTCCAAGGTGGCACCGGAGGTGGCAGTGCCCAGGAGCAGTGTGGACAGATTCTGGGACAGAGCCCTGCGCGCTCCATTCCCACCCCACCCTGGAAGTTCACAGACAGGGCACTTCCGCTTGCACCTGGGTGCCACAAAAGCAGCCCCGAGTCTCCCCAGTCCAGCAGAAGCAGCCACGCTACCGGCTGAGCTCTTCTCAGGGGACCTTGGAGTAAGTGCCACACAAGGATGGTGACGTCTCCACCCAGGGGAGTCCGTGCCTGGCTGGTGTCTGACGACCCAAGATCCCCTGGGCCCTGGGGCTGAAAATAATGTGAAATCTCATGCTGCCCAAGAGCCTCCCAAAGCCCCTCTGAGGGAGGCTTTGTCCTCCTCTCCTTACCCCTGCTATTTTAAGCCCTGCTAAGAATGGTCTGCTTTGAATACCCTGATCCTCCTCCTCTCTCCAGGGACTTGCTCTCGGGGCTGCCCCCGGGTGAGCAGCCCAACCCCACAGCTCCCCAGACTCTGTCCGCTCACCCTCGGCCCTGGCTCAGGGCTGGCAGCCAGTGCCCCGGACTCTCAGCCCGAGACACAAACCTGCTCTGTGCCGGACCGAGGCTGCTGTCATCTCCATCGGCCCCTCAGCCTGACACTCGCCTCACTGCTGGGGGACACGGGGTGGACGTGGAGCAGGGCCCCACTCCGAGTTCTTCTGCCTCCGCTCTGCCCTTCTGTCCTGTCCTGTAGCATCTGCCACCCCAGGGCAGTGGCCTGGCTGTGCCAACCTCAGCGTACGTGGCCCTCACTCCCACGTTGGCCCAGAGCCCACCGGATCTGCCCCTCCCCGCCTGCCCAGACTGTGCCCGCGGCCCACGCCCGCCCTCCCACGGGGCCACTTGTCTGCTCCCGCAGGC